GCCGCCGTCGGGGTGCAGGCGGCCGCGGGGAGCCCCGACCCCGGCGCTGAGCCCGGCTCAGCACTCAGCGCTCAGCCCCAGGCCCAGCCTAGCCCGGGAATGGCCCCCAGCCCCGAGAAAATCCTGCTGGGAACGGCGGCGGCGGCGGCGCCCGCGGTGCTGGGCCAGGAGTCCATGCAGATGTTCCTGCAGCAGGTGAGGCGGTGCGGGAAATTGGGGGAATGATGGGATTTGGGGAATGATGGGATTTGGGGAATGGCAGGATTTGGGGAATGATGGGATTTGGGGAATGGCAGGATTTGGGGAATCTCAAGATTTGGGGAATGGCAGGATTTGGGGAATGATGGGATTTGGGGAATGTCAGAATTCGGGGGTTCTCAGGATCTGGGGATTCTCACAATTCAGGAAATGCTGGGGTTTGGGGAATTTCAGGATTTGGGGAATGTCACAATTTGGGGAATCTCGGGATTTGGGGAATGGCAGGATTTGGGGAATTTCAGGATTTGGGGAATGATGGGATTTGGGGAATCATAAGATTTGGGGAATTCCAGGGTTTGGGGAATTTCCACGCTGGATCCGTCCCACAGGGCGGTGGGATGGCATTGGGAATGGGGAAAAATGATCCAGGGGTGGAAAAATGGGATCTAAAAACAGTAAAATTGGATCCAGGGGTGCAAAATTGGGGGAAAACAGGATCCAGGGGCAGAAATTTGGGATCCAGGGGAAGAAATTCGGGATCCGGGAGCAGAAGTTTGGGATCTGGGGGCAGAAATTCGGGATCCAGCATTGAAAAACCAGGATTCAGAGATGGAAAATGGGATCCAGGGAAAAAAAAATGGGATCCAGGGATGAAAAATGGGATCCAGGGCAGAAATTCGGGATCCAGGAGCGAAAATTTGGGATCCAGGAGCGGAAATTTGGGATCCAGGAGTGGAAATTTGGGATCTGGGCGCGGATCCGTGCGATCCCGGGCGTGTCCCAGCCCCGATCCCCCCCGGATCCATCCCGAGTGACCCCAAACCCCCCGGAGCGGGGTCTGTCCCACAATTCCTCCCCCTCAGACCCCAAATTTGGCCCTTTTCACCCCAAATTCCCGTTGTGGAGCCGGGGGGCCCCCCCAATTCCCCGTTCCCGTTCCCTTCCCCGCTGCTCCCGCTCGCTTGGCGCTCACTAACCCCAAAGCTGCTGCTGCCCCTCCCCCCAAATCCCCCGGATCGGCCCCAAATCCTTCGGGATCCTCCTCGGGATCCGTCCAGTGTCACCCTTGGACAGGAAAAAAACAGGAGTGGGGATTTTTGGGGGAAAGAAATGGAAAATGGGGTTTTCCCCACCGTTTGTGGTGTCTCCAGTGAGAATTCCAGCCTGGAGCCGCTCTGGGATCCTCCTGGGGCTTTTCCTTCCCCATCCTCCCCAAAACACCCTAAAGGTGGATTTGGGATGGAATTGGGGCGGATTTGGGGTGGAATTGGGGTCGATTTGGGCCTGAATTTGAGCAGATTCAGGCTGAAATTTGGGCAGATTTAGCCCTGAATTTGGGCAGATTTGGGCCTGAATTTGGGCAGATTTAGGCCTGAATTTGGGCAGATTCAGGCTGGAATTTGGGCAGATTTGGGCCTGAATTTGGGCAGATTTAGGCCTGAATTTGGGCAGATTTAGGTCTGAATTTGGGCCGATTCAGGCTGGAATTTGGGCGGATTCAGGCTGGAATTGGGATCCGGTCACTCCCGGACGTTTTTCCCGGGATTCCCTCTCCGGAGCCACTTTGGGAATCCCGAGGTGGATCCCGCTCCATCTCCACCCTCCCCAAACGCCCCGGGAGCGGATTTGGGGTCCAGTTTGGGATCCGGGGGGTTCGGGGTCCCTTTCCCATCCGCTTTTCCCGGGATTCTCCCGCTCCC